GGGGCGGGGGACTCCTCGGGGGAGCACTCTGGGACCCCGGGGAGAAGGCTCCGAGACACCGGGGGCTACTCAGAGGGAAGGCTCTGGGACCCCGGGGGCCCCCTTGGGGGATATACAGAGGGAAAGGCCCCAGGACTGGACGGGGTCACACAATGAAGGGTCTTAGCTCTCTGGCTATTACAATACTCCACCAATAAGAACACTATCAGCGCACTAGGCCTCACATCCCCGGTCTATAGTAATCCATTCCTTGGGATGGTAGGCCTAACATCCCCGGGCTGCCGTAGCTCATCTCCCCCGGTCAAGCCCCCTCACCCTCTCCGATCTTCTCCAGCTTCTCGTACTTCTGCATCTCTCCGCGGTCTCCTCTCTCGCACTACGCCTGCGCAGAACAAAGCTCCGCCCACAGCTGTCATACGCTTACATGGGTGGGGCGACAGAACACCAATCCGTGCTTCTGTCAGCGGACGTCATTTCCAAGGCTCATCATTTCCGCAGTACGCCGTTACCATGGAAAAGGGGGCGTGGCTTCCGGCGACGGCCATCTTGGTACACCGTGGTCTGTGCGGTGCTCACTTGCCTGGGGTTTGTAGGTGTGCGGCTTATGGAGTATTAGTCACACACAGAGAAGGGGGAGGGGCTGCTCACAATGAATATGGATGGGGCTCCACTCTGTATATAAGGCGATAGGAGAATGTATATGGTGGGTATGATGTATCTCTATATCTGACCCATCAGAGGTCCACCATCTCTATATCTGACCCATCACAGGTCCACCATCTCTATATCTGACCCATCACAGGTCCACCGTCTCTATATCCGACCCATCACAGGTCCACCATCTCTATATCTGACCCATCAGAGGTGTATAGGAAGCTTCATCATACTTGTGGTTCTGGTATGTTGGTGGTACCAGTGGGTCTTGTCTCAGGCTGGGCCCATTGCAGGTGTGTAATCTCCTGTATCGTGTGTGCGGCAGAGAAGTGTCTCCCCCGTTGTAGAGCCTCACGTGATGGGCGGGGCGTGTATGGATCGGTCACGTACCTCCACCACGCGGCCTTTGGACAGCACCACGATGATGTCTGCGTCGGCGATGGTGCTCAGCCGATGAGCGATAACCAGGACGGTGCGCCCGGAGGCGGCGCGCTCCAGGGCCAGCTGCACCGTCCTCTCAGACTCGGCGTCCAGAGCGCTGGTGGCTTCATCCAGAATCAGAATCCGCGGATCCTTGAGAAGAGCGCGAGCGATGGCGACCCTCTGCTTCTGACCTCCGGAGAGGGTCACCCCGCGCTCACCTGTCAGGAGACAAACCCATATATATATGGTGACCCCAGGTAAAGGTCACCGGCCTCCCATACCGCTAGGCATTGATCGGCCCTCTGTGTACCCGGCTATGCTCCCTCCCAGGTAAGTGGGATCAATGTCTGCAGGTGGGACAGTAGGGATCAATGTCTGCAGGTGGGACAGTGGGGATCAATGTCTGGAGGTGGGACAGTGGGGATCAATGTCTGGAGGTGGGACAGTGGGGATCAATGTCTGCAGGTGGGACAGTGGGGATCAATGTCTGGAGGTGGGACAGTAGGGATCAATGTCTGGAGGTGGGACAGTGGGGATCAATGTCTGGAGGTGGGACAGTGGGGATCAATGTCTGGAGGTGGGACAGTGGGGCAGTGGGGATCAATGTCTGGAGGTGGGACAGTGGGGATCAATGTCTGGAGGTGGGACCGTAGGAATCAATGTCTGGAGGTGGTACCGTAGGGATCAATGTCTGCAGGTGGTACGGTAGGGATCAATGTCTGCAGTGGGTACGGTAGGGATCAATGTCTGCAGGGGGTACGGTAGGGATCAATGTCTGCAGGGGGTACAGTGGGGATCAATGTCTGCAGGTGGGACTGTAGGGATCAATGTCTGCAGGTGGGACCGTAGGGATCAATGTCTGCAGGTGGTACGGTAGGGATCAATGTCTGCAGGTGGGACAGTGGGGATCAATGTCTGCAGGTGGGACCGTAGGGATCAATGTCTGCAGGTGGGACCGTAGGGATCAATGTCTGCAGGTGGGACCGTAGGGATCAATGTCTGCAGATGGTACAGTGGTGATCAATGTCTGCAGGTGGTACAGTGGGGATCAATGTCTGCAGGTGGGACAGTGGGGATCAATGTCTGCAGGGGGTACACTGGGGATCAATGTCTGCAGGGGGTACACTGGGGATCAATGTCTGCAGGTGGGATAGTAGGGATCAATGTCTGCAGGTGGGATAGTAGGGATCAATATCTGCAGGTGGTACGGTAGGGATCAATGTCTGCAGGTGGGACAGTAGGGATCAATGTCTGCAGGTGGGACAGTAGGGATCAATGTCTGCAGGTGGGACAGTGGGGATCAATGTCTGCAGGTGGGACAGTGGGGATCAATGTCTGCAGGTGGGACCGTGGGGATCAATGTCTGCAGGTGGTACGGTAGGGATCAATGTCTGCAGGTGGTACAGTAGGGATCAATGTCTGCAGGTGGTACAGTAGGGATCAATGTCTGCAGGTGGTACAGTAGGGATCAATGTCTGCAGGTGGGACGGTAGGGATCAATGTCTGCAGGTGGGACCGTAGGGATCAATGTCTGCAGGTGGGACCGTAGGGATCAATGTCTGCAGGTGGGACCGTAGGGATCAATGTCTGCAGGTGGGACCGTAGGGATCAATGTCTGCAGGTGGGACGGTAGGGATCAATGTCTGCAGGTGGTACGGTAGGGATCAATGTCTGCAGGTGGGACAGTGGGGATCAATGTCTGCAGGGGGTACAGTGGGGATCAATGTCTGCAGGTGGTACAGTAGGGATCAATGTCTGCAGGTGGGACAGTGGGGATCAATGTCTGCAGGGGGTACAGTGGGGATCAATGTCTGCAGGTGGTACAGTAGGGATCAATGTCTGCAGGTGGGACAGTGGGGATCAATGTCTGCAGGGGGTACAGTGGGGATCAATGTCTGCAGGTGGTACAGTAGGGATCAATGTCTGCAGGTGGGACAGTGGGGATCAATGTCTGCAGGGGGTACAGTGGGGATCAATGTCTGCAGGGGGTACAGTAGGGATCAATGTCTGCAGGTGGGACAGTGGGGATCAATGTCTGCAGGGGGTACAGTGGGGATCAATGTCTGCAGGGGGTACACTGGGGATCAATGTCTGCAGGTGGGACAGTGGGGATCAATGTCTGCAGGGGGTACAGTGGGGATCAATGTCTGCAGGGGGTACACTGGGGATCAATGTCTGCAGGTGGGACAGTAGGGATCAATGTCTGCAGGTGGGACAGTGGGGATCAATGTCTGCAGGTGGGACAGTAGGGATCAATGTCTGCAGGTGGGACAGTGGGGATCAATGTCTGCAGGTGGGACAGTAGGGATCAATGTCTGCAGGTGGTACGGTAGGGATCAATGACTCACCCAGCACGGTGTTGTAGCCTTCTGGAAAGTTCCGGATGAAGTCATCAGCGTTTGCCAACTTTGCAGCTTCAAAGACTTCAGCGTCAGCGGCCTCCGGCCTCCCGAACCGGATATTCTCCAGAACCGACGTGCCGAACAGAACCGGCTCCTGAGGGGAACGCGGGTCAGTCGAGGCGAGGAATATTTCTGTATATTGCCCATTATCCTCAGTACAGAGCCATGCCGATCACAGCAGCCAATCACAGCCCAGCGTGACCCCTAACCCCCAATCACAGCCCAGCGTGACCCCTAACCCCCTAATCACAGCCCAGCGTGACCCCTAACCCCCTAATCACAGCCCAGCGTGACCCCTAACCCCCTAATCACAGCCCAGCGTGACCCCTAACCCCCTAATCACAGCCCAGCGTGACCCCTAACCCCCTAATCACAGCCCAGCGTGACCCCTAACCCCCTAATCACAGCCCAGCGTGACCCCTAACCCCCTAATCACAGCCCAGCGTGACCCCTAACCCCCTAATCACAGCCCAGCGTGACCCCTAACCCCCTAATCACAGCCCAGCGTGACCCCTAACCCCCTAATCACAGCCCAGCGTGACCCCTAACCCCCTAATCACAGCCCAGCGTGACCCCTAACCCCCTAATCACAGCCCAGCGTGACCCCTAACCCCCTAATCACAGCCCAGCGTGACCCCTAACCCCCTAATCACAGCCCAGCGTGACCCCTAACCCCCTAATCACAGCCCAGCGTGACCCCTAACCCCCTAATCACAGCCCAGCGTGACCCCTAACCCCCTAATCACAGCCCAGCGTGACCCCTAACCCCCTAATCACAGCCCAGCGTGACCCCTAACCCCCTAATCACAGCCCAGCGTGACCCCTAACCCCCTAATCACAGCCCAGCGTGACCCCTAACCCCCTAATCACAGCCCAGCGTGACCCCTAACCCCCTAATCACAGCCCAGCGTGACCCCTAACCCCCTAATCACAGCCCAGCGTGACCCCTAACCCCCTAATCACAGCCCAGCGTGACCCCTAACCCCCTAATCACAGCCCAGCGTGACCCCTAACCCCCTAATCACAGCCCAGCGTGACCCCTAACCCCCTAATCACAGCCCAGCGTGACCCCTAACCCCCTAATCACAGCCCAGCGTGACCCCTAACCCCCTAATCACAGCCCAGCGTGACCCCTAACCCCCTAATCACAGCCCAGCGTGACCCCTAACCCCCTAATCACAGCCCAGCGTGACCCCTAACCCCCTAATCACAGCCCAGCGTGACCCCTAACCCCCTAATCACAGCCCAGCGTGACCCCTAACCCCCTAATCACAGCCCAGCGTGACCCCTAACCCCCTAATCACAGCCCAGCGTGACCCCTAACCCCCTAATCACAGCCCAGCGTGACCCCTAACCCCCTAATCACAGCCCAGCGTGACCCCTAACCCCCTAATCACAGCCCAGCGTGACCCCTAACCCCCTAATCACAGCCCAGCGTGACCCCTAACCCCCTAATCACAGCCCAGCGTGACCCCTAACCCCCTAATCACAGCCCAGCGTGACCCCTAACCCCCTAATCACAGCCCAGCGTGACCCCTAACCCCCTAATCACAGCCCAGCGTGACCCCTAACCCCCTAATCACAGCCCAGCGTGACCCCTAACCCCCTAATCACAGCCCAGCGTGACCCCTAACCCCCTAATCACAGCCCAGCGTGACCCCTAACCCCCTAATCACAGCCCAGCGTGACCCCTAACCCCCTAATCACAGCCCAGCGTGACCCCTAACCCCCTAATCACAGCCCAGCGTGACCCCTAACCCCCTAATCACAGCCCAGCGTGACCCCTAACCCCCTAATCACAGCCCAGCGTGACCCCTAACCCCCTAATCACAGCCCAGCGTGACCCCTAACCCCCTAATCACAGCCCAGCGTGACCCCTAACCCCCTAATCACAGCCCAGCGTGACCCCTAACCCCCTAATCACAGCCCAGCGTGACCCCTAACCCCCTAATCACAGCCCAGCGTGACCCCTAACCCCCTAATCACAGCCCAGCGTGACCCCTAACCCCCTAATCACAGCCCAGCGTGACCCCTAACCCCCTAATCACAGCCCAGCGTGACCCCTAACCCCCTAATCACAGCCCAGCGTGACCCCTAACCCCCTAATCACAGCCCAGCGTGACCCCTAACCCCCTAATCACAGCTCTGTGTGACCCCCATATCCCCCCCAATCACAGCTCTGTAAGCAAATCCTTGCCTCTACCAAGATGGCCGCCTCTACACAGAGCTGCAGTGCAGAGCAAGGCTCGGTAAGTCAGTAGGGATCAGTTGCAGGGAGGCCCCAGGCCACACTGGTGACTACTCCTTTGTCCCCTGCTGGCCCGTTTTGGGCAAAGTGTCCACAGAATGGGTCAGCCCAAAAATGTTTTGAAAAGCAGGGAAGGGTTAGAGCTCCAGTTGGGTTTTTACTGTAATTTGGGGCTCTGCGAGAGAGATTTCCCCTCACTTCCTGTCCCACTGACAATGGCTTAACTAGACAGGAAGTGAGAGTAACTCTCCAACATTAGCACAGTCAGAAATCACCTTGGGGGGGGGGAAGGGAAGTCTTTCAAGGGGTACGCCTGTTCCAGAGAGGACTTCCTCTCACTTCCTGCCGAGTCTCTGGGACAGGAAGTGAAGGGAAATATCCCCAATGAGACTGACAGGCTCCACCCATTCCATCCTCTGTCTT